AAGGTACAAAAAGACAAATGGGACGAGGAGTGCGAAGAAGCTTTCCAGAATCTAAAGACTTACCTCACTTCACCTCCCCTGCTCTCAAAGCCAGTTCCTGGTGAAGACTTGTTCGTGTACCTGGCAGTGTCCAACTCGGCCGTCAGCTCAGCTCTCATTCGAGAAGAACTAGGGGCCCAACATCTGGTATTCTACACGTCAAAAGCCCTTCTAGATGCAGAGACTAGCTACCCGAAATTGGAGAAGCTCATTTTGGCCCTTGTAGTTTTTGTGAGAAAGCTGCGACCCTATTACCAAGCTCACTGAGTCATCATCATGACCGACTTTCCTTTAAGGTCAATCCTCCACAGCCCTGACGCGTCTCAACGACTCATGAAGTGGGCTATAGAGTTAAGCCAATACGACCTCCTTTACTAGCCGAAAACTGCAATAAAAGCCCAGGCTTTAGCAAACTTTGTCGCTGAATTCACGTCATCGACCGAAGAAGAGAAGTTGGACAGCAAAAAGAAGGAAAGTTCGAGAGCAGACAAGACCTCCGCTGAACCTGACCAACCCAAAGACATGTGGCAGTTGCTTTTAGACGGAGCGTCGAACCAAAAAGGAGCTGGAGCAGCCGTCGTCATCATCACCCCAGATGGAACCTTGTTAGAGCAAGCTATCACGCTTGGCTTCCCAGCCTCAAACAACGAGGCAGAATACGAGGCATTGCTCACTGGCTTCCGCTTGGCGAAGGAGCTGTCAATCAAGAAGCTGGCCATCTACTCAGATTCCCAACTGATCACAAATCAAGCCTCAGGAGAATACATGGCGAAGCACCCAAGGATGATATTGTACCTTGACAAAGTCCAGGAGCTGTTGAAGGCGTTTCCTACCTTCACCATCCAACAAGTGCCTCGAGCAGAGAATGCGCACGCAGATGCATTGGCAAGCTTAGGATCAGCGCTTGATACCCAGTTCAGACTCTCTATCCCGGTCGAGCACCTTGACCAGCCAAACCTGATGCAGATCGACGAGGATCCTAGCTGGCAAGACCCTTCATTGACTACCTAGTTAACGAAAACTTACCCAAGGACAAGTCCGAGGCCATCAAAATCAAACAGAAGGCTGCGAGATACTACTTGAAAGGCGACATGCTTGTTCGCAGATCATACTAAGGCCCTCATCTTACTTGCATCAAGTACCCACAGACGCTCGAGGTTCTCTGCAAAATACACGACAGCGAATGTGGAAATCACGTTGGGGGCAGATCACTTGCCTAGAAGGCTCTCAGCATAGGCTATTTTTAGCCTACCATGCGCCAAGACTCCACGGAGTATGCTCGAAGGTGTGATCGATGCCTACGATATAAGCCAATCCCTGGCTTGCTAACTGAGGAATACCATCTGCA